CCCTCGGGGTCTCCGCGGCCATGGCTCCCGCGGCTCCGAGCCCCCCGGAGGTGGTTCGCGCGGCGCAGAAGGACGACTACTACCGCGGCGGGTTGCGGAGCGCAGCGAGCAGCGCCCTGCACAGCTTGGCGGGTGAGGCCACGCGGGGCCGGGTGGAGGTGTCCTAGCTGTCCTCGCGGGTGAGCCAAGAGGTCCAGCCGGGCGTCCGAGGCCGCTGCCTGCACTGAGTGACCTGCGCAGCCAAAAAGATCTGGCCCCCGTGGGTGGTCCTGGGCGCCGCGCTGCGAGGTGGGCGAATGAGCCCCTAGACCCCGCCCGGCTCTGCCACCCCGGTCACCTGGGCCAGGCCCTGCGCACCCCAGCTGGTGGGTGGGGGTTGGAGTGGGGCCAGGTGTGGAGAAAGGAAGGGCCGAGGGCGGGAGCGTGGGGTGGCTTCCGGACGATAGCGCCGAAGGGAGACTGGGGCTGGGTGGCCATCAGCAGGCTTTGAACAGGAGAGGGACAGGCTCAGAACAAATGGTGTGTATATCATATTACAAACACTGTGATTTAGCGTTAGCTACTTCTTTCAATACTTTACAAATAGTTACTCCTCAAAACATTTCTAAGAGATAGGACTTGTCATTCCCATCCTCAGCGATACAGAAATTGGGATTCCTGGGTGATGGTGAAGTTGCTTGAGGTCACAACCAGCAGGGTGGGGAGCTGGGAGTGGATGCTGGACAGTGGTCTCGCTTGTGCTCAGTCACTGTCCTACACTGTCCTGTGGCCCTTCTGGGCTCTAGAACACTTGGAGGGGGGCACAGGGGGAGGTGGCTGCAGGTTGGGTTTCAGGAGACTCGGTGGCCCAGGCAAGGCAGGCGCAGATAGAGCAGAGTGGGCGGCACCAGATGCCGGGGGAGAGAGGAGAGTGATTTAGGACAGTCTCGGCTTCGAGTAAAGTGGTTGGGATGGGCCTTGGCGGGAGGGCGGCGGAGCATTGTTCTTGTTCCTTACCGGCCCACCGGCCCCCACCCCCAGAGAAATAATGCTGTTTCTTTCAGGTGCGAAGAAGTGGCTGGAGTGGAGGAGAGAGGTCGAGCTGCTGTCGGATGTAGCCTACTTCAGCCTCACCACACTTGCAGGTAGCACCCCTGTGAGACCTTGGGACCGAGGGCCTCAACACACACCAAGCCCAGAGGACGGGAAGGGGCTGACAGCAGAGTACGAAGCTCCTGGGGGCCTTCCCAGTGTCCCTGGGGCTGGCCTGGATGCATCCTCAGGGAAGGGGAGGACCCGAGACCCACCGCTAGCAGGAGGCCAGGCCCCGAGCCCCAGCCAGGGCCTCTGAAAGCTCTGTTCACCTGTGTCCTTTCATCCTGTGTCCCTGGGGACCTTGCACAGGGTGCCACTGACACCGTTTCTCTGTGGCTGAACCCGTGCTCCCCACACTGAGCCCCGTCAGCAGAGCGTGGGCGGCGAGGCCCTGGCGGAGCATCGTCCCTTAGAGGAAAGGCGGGGCCCCAGTGGAGTGCCAAATCTGGCGCAGAGAAGGAAAGGGCTGGCAGGTCCTGCCTCAGACTCTCATGTGCGCATCCTCTTGTCCCCAGGCTACCAGACCCTCGGGGAGGAGTACGTCGGGGTCGTCCAGGTGGACCGGTCCCGGAGCCAAGTGCCCTCAGGGCTACGCCGCGGCGTGCTGGTCGCTCTGCACACTGTCCTGCCCTACTTGCTGGACAAGGCCCTGCTGCACCTGGAGCATGAGCTGCAGGCCGACGGCGATGGCGCCCGGCCCTTGCAGGGCAGCCTGGCGCCTGGCGTTCGTGGCCGGTCGGCGGTGAGGCGCTGGGTGCACCAGCAGGCGGCCACCCTGACGGAGCAGCAGAGGAAGGTGCTCCTGCGGGCCGCGCTGGTGCTCAGGCAGGGCCTGGGCTGTCTGCAGCGGCTCCACGTTGCCTGGTTCTACATCCATGGCGTCTTCTACCACCTGGCCAAGCGGCTCACGGGAGTCACCTATGTGAGTGTGGGCACCGCCCAGGCCGGCTCGATTCTGGTTCACGTGCAGAGCTGACTCTTCAGGCCCTGTGTGGACTGGCACGGGGCCGGGGCCGGGGCCGGGGCCAAGATCCTCGACTGGCCTTGCTGGTCCATGTTTTGCTAATGGGCCCAAGGAAGTCCATTCTCCATACACCCCGCGGGTGGGCAAGTCCGCCTGCCGGCAGCCAGCACACGTGGGCCAGCCTAGGTGCTAGGCCCGGCGCCCTGCCCTTTCCTGTAAGCACGGGCCCGGCCCTGGGCTCCTGGGTCCTATGACCACTCTTCTCAGACTGCCCTGAGGGAAGATCAGGTGACGGTGACCCCACGGTGTCCACGTGGGCCCTGTCACTGCCTGCCTTCTTTCTGGTTCTCAGCCAATACCTTGCTTCCAGATTCATCCAGAAAGACCTCCTCAGGCCCCTGCCTGCAGAGCGGGAGCTTCTGTCCCTGCAACAGAGATGCTGCTTGGCAGCGTCCGGCATGTGGGCCTTTCCTCTTGCCCCGCTGGGTGCTCCCCAGGCTTCTCTGCTGACTCCCCTTTGAGGTGCCCCCCAAACTCTCACCTGCACACAGCCAGTGATCTGCAGACTTCCCGGCTCAGCGCCTGGCCCGTCGGGAGTGAGCCCTGCGCTGTCCAGCAGCATCCCCCGACTGCCCGCCCACCCGGTGCTCAGGCCCCGCAGGGTCCTCCTCACTAGCCCAGCCCCGTGGTCCTCCTGTCCCCACTGTGCGCCAAGAGGGCAGAGTTTGGCCTCATTTGATGGGGCACTTGAGTACTAGAGGAGGCCTGCCCACCAAGCTGCCCAGTCTTTGTGCCAGCTGATCATGTGACTCCCCTCGGGGTCCTTGACAGCTCCGCGTCCACCGCCCGCCCACAGAGGACTCGCGGGCTCACACAAGCTACAGGCTGCTGGGGCTCGTCTCGCTGCTGCACCTGGCCCTGTCCGTGGGCCTGCAGCTGCACGGCTTCCGACAGAGGCAGCGTGCGCGGCGGGAGTGGAAGCTGCACCGCGGCCTGTCTCACCGCAGGTGCGCGGGGCTGGCACCAAGGGCGCGGGGTCTCAGTGCGGGCTCGCCGCCGGCTGCGGGGGCCGAGCATCCCTGCACTCAGCAAGGCCTGCGAGGCTCAGCCCTCCTCCCCCCACAGGAGCCACGTGGAAGAGAGAGCGGTCTCCAGAAGCTCCCTGTGCACCCTGTGCCTGGAGGAGCGCAGGCACGCGACTGCCACGCCCTGCGGCCACCTCTTCTGCTGGGAGTGCATCACCCAGTGGTGCGACACCAAGGTCAGCCATGGTTCTGCAGTGCGGGCTCCCCCAGCAGGTGTGCGGCCGCCCGGGGCTGCAGTCGGGAGCCTGCCTCTAAAACCTCTCCTCAGGGAGGTGGGTGGGCATCTCTGTGGAAGCCCCCAGGTAAGCCAGGTACAGAGCTGTATCGGGGGTCGAGGCGTTGCCATTGCTATGCTGACGCTTTGCCGAAAACAAGCTAGAAAAGCTGTGAGCGTCCCCTCCTGGGAGGCCCTGGCCTGCCCGCACACGCTGGGCCCTCCTCTCCAGCTGGGCGTGCGCCCCCTGTGGCTGCCCACGTGGGCGTCCCAGGACACAGAGCTGCCTGGCCTGGCTTTTGAGACCTCACGCTGTTGGGGTACTGAGTCAGATAGCTAGTGCAGGGGACACCATGCCACCTCTCACATGCATGCTGACCCCAGAGTGGGGTTATTCCTGGGCCCCCACACACCACCTCTGCTGGCCTCTGCTGGCAAGCTCAGCCCAAATCCAGCTTCTCTGGGGCTGGGGGAGGGCCACCCAGGTACGGCAGGTAAGGCCCCCGTGTTTCCTGTGCCGCTTTAATCCCTGAGCTGTTACTCACCTGAGGATGCTCATGTCAACATCAGCCATGGGTGGGGGCTGATCTAGGACCTGCACCTGGGTCCTGTGGGGTTTCAGCCCAGGCTGCTCCGGGTCCCCCACGCCTGCCTCGAGGGAACCCCAGGAGCACAGGTGCTGCCGCCCCACTGCGTGGGCCTCACGTGGTGCCGGCGGGAGAGCCACCCGCCCTCTGGGGCCAGAGGGAACCTGACCTGGTTTCAGCCCAGATGGTCCTTAGGGTGGGACCGCCAGGCCTGAGGAAATGGACAATGGACAGGTATGTTCGTCCTAGAACCTCGCAAGAGGCTCAAGCTGCCAGTCGTCCAGCAGCTGAGACCCCAAGGGTGTCTGGGTCCCCCTGCTCCTCTCAGCACATCGGTAGCTGCCACGTGGACAGGCTGGCTGTCTCCTCAGCCTGACCACTGTCCCCTGCTCCTTGACACCCAGGGTTAAGGCCTTCCCTTCAGGTTTGACTTCTGAAGAAAGGCCGACTTTTCGGTCAAGTTGAACAGAAACACCCAGCGTTGCTGGCGATGCCAGTCGGGGAGGGCCCGCAGTGGTCTTGCAGGGGACAGTCCACATGACCTCTCCTCCCCCCACAGACGGAGTGTCCCCTGTGCAGGGAGAAGTTCCCTCCCCAGAAGCTCGTCTACCTGCGGCACTTCCGGTGATTACAGGACAGAGGGACGCAGGAGTCACCTGATGTCAAGAAGACACTTGATTTACAAGGTTAACTTGCACAGGAATCACAAAACTGTCAAATTTTCTACTTTAGTCACATAAGATGCTACGCCAGCAGCTCAGGACAGAACCTGGACGGCTGGTCCGAGGCGTCCAGGGCCAAGTTTGGGCGGGGCTCCATCCAGCTGTTCCTCGAGCCTGTGGAGGTGGTGGTGGGACCCAGTGGCAGGACACTGGCCAGGACCCAGTGGGGGGCCCCCACCACCCCCACTGTGGCACAGCCCGGTCACTCCTTCGGGAAATGGCACTGCTTGGAACGAGGTTCTGAGTTTGCGTCCCTCCCCCAAACCGCAAGTATTTCAGAAACAGGCCCGGAAACGCTTTTTCCGTTTCCATGATGAGACACCGAGCCAAACCAGGTGGACGGCAAGGTTCAGCCCGAACGGCGAGTGCTGAGTGAGGGCAGGGGACGGAGCTGTCCTGGTGATGCAGTCAGCCTGCCAGCCCCTGCCACCAGGGCTGGTGGCCGAGGCCAGGCACGTCCACTCACAGGAGAAACCGAGGGCTCCGCGTGCCTCAGGTTTGTGGCCAGTTCAGAAAGCTGCCGTCGCGTCCTGGCCTTGGGTAGCTGTGCAGGGGTCGCTCCCGCTCAGGGCTCCGGGGACAGCTAGCTTGAGTGAGGAGTCTGCCTTCCTGACACCTGGCCCACAAATGGTGCCCTGGAGGCCCGTGGCAGGACAGCTGCTACACTAGGTCATCTCCGTCCAGCCTGCTTCCTGCCACCTTGTTATCATAAGGGATCTGAAACTACTTGTACCAGATACAGGACTTTGCCGAAGGTCCCTTAAGAAACAAGTTCCACGAAGTGCTGGGACGTTAAAGCCGTCAGAGTGCCGTGAAAATCAGGTTTGACAATAGTGGGTACAAAATGTCCTCCCTGGGACGTCTGGTCCAGGGCAGAGGCCCGTACCAACTCCCCTCAGAGTGACTCAGCAGCTGTCCAGGAATAGACACGGCTCAGCAGGCCTCGCTCGTGGAAGGTCAGCTGCCAGGGACGCCGTGCTGACCTCACCTAGACGAGGAGCCCCAGAGCGGCCTCCCTCATGCCCGAGACCTTCAGTGACGCTCCGACCACGCGCACACGACTCCCGCCCGCCTGAGCCGGAGCAGTGCCAGGAGACGGCGCGCGCGTTGAGGGAACAGGCCTGAGCACCTCAGGGCTCCAGTGCCAGGAAAGTACCGATCGAGAATGTCATTTAAATAAAAGTTTAAAACACACGGTCTCTACGTGGCCTTCTAAGACCTAGAGCAGCTCAGTCCAGGCCTGCAAACACGGGCATGACAGACACAGTTGGGGTCCAAGACCCCAAAACGATGGCCAACAGTGCACTCAGGGTGACAAGGGAGCCCCCTGCAGACCCGGGAGAAAAGACCGACTTCAGTGCCCACCCCAGTGACAACCACAGTCATGCTGACTGTCCCGTCTGCCGCACTTGGCAAACGCGGTTCACTCCCCGGGGCCTGTGGTCCTCCCGACGGGCTAGGCCGGCCTGCAGCGAGCTGCGGCGTTCAGATAGAGACTACACGAGAAAGGGGACACTGTGTTTAATAAAGTTGGAATTAAAAAGTCACGTAGTAAAATGGTTACGAGTACTCGTTTTATCACATCAAAAAGAAGTCGACGTGCACGGCAGCGCCCTCCCCAGAGCGCAGCGGCGTCGGAAGCCACAGGCCCACACCGACCGTGCCGGCCTGTCGCAGGGGCTGCTGCGCAGAAACACAGTCACCAGCTTTCTACGTATGAAAGAAATGTGTCAAAATAATCTCAAACGATTAAAATATATATTTATAATTCCAGGCCCAAAAGCAATCACGGTAGTTAACAGAGTTTTGAGTCATTACGATACAGGCCAACTTCAAACGCCGCTGCTGGGATGGAAATGGGAAACTGGCATGAGAGCCCAGCGTTACTGGGGAGTCACCTTTCAAACGTCAGGCTCCTTCCAACACGCGGCACTCAGGCTGGCGTCATCCCCAGCTGGGGGACGTGCCCACGGGCGTCCTCGGGGAGAGGCGGTGGCTGGCGTGCAGCCTGGGCCCTCATACCCGCCGCCCGCCCAGCCTGCGGCTAAGGTTCTGTCCGTTTAAACACCTGAACGTCACTGAAAAAGAGATCAATGCAATTCAGTTTAAGTGCCAGTTTCTTCAAGAACCTGATATTTCAATTACAAATAACTGAAGCTCCTCTTTAAAAAGAAAATCCGACTCCCTCATCATCGACTACGTTATGTGAAGAAAGAAGGCGTTCTCACGATGGCTCGAACCCGCCTCAGGCTCCGAGGGAGGGAAGCGCCTGCCGCGTCTAACTTGCGAACGTCTTGCCCGCATCCTCCTTCCCCTTGTACGTCCTCTTGCCGTGCGTGAAGGGGATGTACCGGTACTTTATCATGTGCTGGGGACAGACAGACAGACCATGTTCAGAACAGCTTTCCGATGGGCCACGTCCTCGCGCCAGGTGACAAAACCAGGGCCCCAGCAGTGCGCTCCCAGGCCCCCGCCAGAAGCAGCCCCCGGCGCACAGGACAGGCCCTGGGGTGGGGTGCCCCACTCGGCTGTGCAGGCCTATCTGCCCAGGCCTGTTCAGGGGAATGTCATCATCCAGCAGGTCCTGACTGACCCGGGAGGGGGCACAACCAAGGGCCATTCCTGTGCCGCCCAAGAGCCCGCCCCCAGCTCCGGGCTGGGGTACAGTGCCATACTGGCTGGCCTTGGTGGGGGGAAGCGGGGCACCGTGTCCCCGTCCCAGGCCCGCACAGAGCTGCCCGCTGCCCCGTGTGGATAAGGCAGGTTCCGCGTCAGCCTCCCGTGTCGCAGGCCTGCGCCCGGCGCGCCCGCCTTTCCCAGCGCAGCCGTGAGGCTTTCACCTTGATCTGCCTCTTCATGGTGATGCAGAACAGCATGACGAAGTACATGACCAAGATGGGCCAGAACACCGGGACATTGAACGCCTCGAAGAAGGTGCAGACCATGGCCACCAGGATGCCCTTGGTGGCTGCGTGCCTGAAAGGAGAGGAGGTCAGTTCGGGGACAGCGGCACGGCGTTGCCCCCAAGGGCCGGGCACAGACTCGGAGCCACACTGCGTGCATTTCACGCGTGCTGTGCGACGCGGAGCCCACAGTCTGCCCAGCCTCGTGTCTGCTGCCGGGCCGGCCGTCTGGAGAACCCCACGTGCTGAGCCCCCAGGGTCACATGCGTCCAGAGGACCAAGCAGCACCCAGGCGCTCCTGCCGCTCAGGGCCCGGCCACCTCCCGGCTCTTCCTCGGGCTGCCAGGCCCCGGCCCTGCCAGCACTGCACGCTCGCTGCCCCCAGACCCGCCAGACCCTGGCGAAGGGGCAGGAGCTCATGGCCTTCAGTTTTCTAATCCATCAAATACAGGACAGAGGTCAGAGTCCCCATCGCTCTGACAGCAGGGGGTCCCTCTGTCCACCTGCCACACATACACTCGTCCCATCACACAGATGCCGCCACCTCCAGGAGGTCTGGGGGACAAGCCAACCCCCACTCCTGGGCAGCAGCTGTCCCCGAGGCTGCGCCTGCCCTGGAATGGCCCAGCCCTGCATCTGTCAGACACGTGGCCGGAACCACAAGGCACTGCGTGCGTGGAGCAGTGCGCAGGCCGGCAGTCTGGGGCACAGGGCCACGACTGGCTGTGCGACCTGTCCTTCCTGAGGGAGTCTGCGACATTCTCGGGACACCGTGGCCGAAAGCAGGCTCCCCCACCACCCGCTTCAGAGTGCTTCAGCAGTAACTTGCAACCGAGAAGCACCGGGTGCTGGGCTCCCTGAGAAGCACAGCACTCCAATTCTGGGTGAACAAATGTTCAAAACAAACCAAAGTCATTTAAGAACTCTAACTCCCTGGCCAGTTAGAGCAAAAGCGGTCTGACTGAACACTGGAGAACAAATATCTTTAGGAATCAACTCACCAGAATTTAAACTCCGGAAGCCTTCGAATGAACGGCCGGAACTCCTCGTTCTGTTTAGTTGGTAAGGAGGGACCGTCATCTGAAAAACAGAGCGGCTGTCAGAAGCAGCAGATGTCTCCTCTTTATTTCTGTGACTACACGTGCTTGTTTTCCCCTAAAACTTCTGAACTAAAAAACTAATGTGTGAAATACAGATTCATTTCACTCAACCACAGACCAAAAGGGGCTCTTAGCAGAGTTAGAAAACAATTTATTGCTTTGGAAGACTCATGTTAGACTTTAAAAAGAACTGCTATGTGACTTAAACGATTGCACAGAAGTTCAACTACACACCCATTTTCGGGAACACGTCAACTACACTACACGAAGATACGTGAAGGAAACAGGCGTGAACGGTCGCACACGTGGGGAACGTTCGCCACGCTGTGTCTGCTCTCCAGGGCATGGGCTGCAGGGACCATCGCCCTCCTCTAGGACCTGAGAGCCAGGCCTGTGGGGGTGAGGTCCACACACCTGTCTCGCCTCACCTCGCCCCACCTGAGACAGGTGCCTCTAGGTACAGACCGAGAAACTGAGGCTAGCACCACGAATTGAAAGAGTTGTTTCCTTTCGTGTGTCCATTAACTTGTCTCTAAAGCAAATCACAGGCTTCTGGTCGCAGCGGGAATGGCCTGGAGAAAATGCCACGCACTCAGCGTCTCTGTAACAGGGAGGGCTCCGCAGGCAGCCCAGCTTTCCCGGCAGTGACGACAGACGTGCTGGAACAGACGACTCATCCTTTGTTCAGGCCGCTGCCCGGCTGGCCAGTCAGGCGTGGACTTGGGCCCCACCTGGCCCAGGCATGGCCGGGACAGCGTGAGTCAGGAACCTTCAACTCGCCATCCTGGGAAATCTGACCACCACCCACCCGGGCTGGCCATAGTGGGCAGGGTCCAAGTGGCCTCTGTTGGCCACAGCGAGCTGCCCGGGAAAACCTCTGGCTCCGCGAGAAGGGGACCTAACTGCTGCTGTGAGGGTGACTGAAAGAAGGCTGGCTCTTTAGGAAGGGGTACATCCCTGCGCCACTGACTACCATGTGACCCCGGACAAGCTACGTGACGCTGGGTCTCCGTTCCCTCGTCTGCGTGTTAGGGGTGACAGAAGGAACAGGCTGCCCCCACGGGGTGGTTAAGAGGGTTCAATGAATCGTTCTACAAACAAATTTATCATCGTCACCAAAGTCCCCGGTATTAAACACCAAGAGACGGTCTCAAAATCTGGATTTCAGATGTTTCTAGAGAAAACGAGCAGCCCCGTGAAGTACGGGTCACAGCTCTCCCCCGGCCGACAGCTACCTGAGTCCTCCATGAGCGAAGGGTCCACTTTTGGAGAAAGAAAAGCTATGAAGAGATTGAGGTGGTAGATTCCCAAGGCGTAGGTGACAATGTACCATCCCTGGAGAGAAGAGAGACAGATCAGAGCTGCTCCGGCCGCCCACACCCTGAGCCGAGCCCGCCAACATCCCAGGACCTCCAGACCTGGGATGGTACGAGGGCCAGTGGAGGGCAGGGAACCTCCATGGTGACGGTTTATGTCAAACTGCTCTGTAGGTCTCGACAGTGGGCGAGCAGAAGGGTCTAGTTAGATGCACGAAACACCTGCGGCCACGGGCCCCCACCGGGAGCGCGGCAGGAAGGGCGGTTCGCGGAGTCCAGGCCAAGCTGCACCGCAGCGGGGCACGGCCGGGCACTGAGAGACGCTGCTGTGCCCGGCTCCAGACGCCCTGCCATCAGCCGAGGGCCACCTGAGCTGCCACAGCACTGCCCAAGACACGCTGGCTGACACTCCTGCTACCACACACTTTGTCACGGTGATCATCATCTTTCCCGGAAGAAATCCAGAACCAGAAATCAAGAACGAGGTGCAAAAAGCGTTTTGGAGCCAAACCTTCCTCAGGAGACCTGAAGGGGGAACGCCCGCACAGGTGCACACACGACACACCTACCTGCAACCAACTTGTTTCTAAAAGCAGCGGGTTTATCCGACCAGAACCAGGACTGCACCGCGTTCCCAATTTTATAAGCCCAAAAATTCTCATGCAAACAAAACGAAATCTTTCTGCCTTAAAATTTTTTAAGTCAGAAAACTAAAAACTAGATGCGAGAAGCTAGTTTACTGCTCACACGGCCTGAGTGCGGGGCCAGGCCTGAGGGGCACCCTATCAGGTACAAACCTGTGTGGGAGGCGCCCATGCCACTTAATCCCCTAAATCAAGGTTTCTGGGTCATTCTTTCCATTGGAGAACAGAGCCCCAGCTTTCACAAAATCTAAAGTCGATGGAATTCAACATTAACTTCAGACCTCCTGTAGATCAGACCAGCTGCAGTCGCCCAGAGCGCGGCCCCCGCCCCCTGGAACCGCACAGGGTCTGCTAGAGGGACAGGAGCTCCATGGATTTTCAGGGAGAACGTCCCCCGGTACTGACACATCGTAGCATCCAGTAAATAAATCAGAGACCACATCCCTCTCAATCTTAGGAAAGACCCTGAAGGAAAGTGTTGCTTTAAATGAGGAAACATCTTTCTCAGCTCCAGAAAAAATCACCCTGGACAAGGCCTTGAACCCGCCTTCTGCTGGACAGAAGGCAACATCGAAGCACCTCCTCTCAGAAGAACCTGCGTCTAGGCACCAGGGGGGTCGCTGGAGGGGCGATACACGCCACCTTCGGTCCCCAGTCTCCCCCTCGGCCTCACAAGAGGTGTGACTCAAACAAGTGAACCTTCAGGAGCCAACACTGACCATGGCACCCAGGGAATGAGGCGGCTGGTCCACAGTTACTTGTCCCCAGGGTTTCCAGCCCCGAGTCTCGAGCCACGGGTGGAGGGTGCACCAAAGGGTACGCTGCCCAGGCTGGGGGTTGGGAAGGGGTAGCACTGTCAGTTTCGCCAGGCCCAGACTGTCATTGAGACTGTCCTGGGGACTCTAAAGTGTGACAAAGGCAGGATGAACTGTAAGCGATCCTAGTTTAAAAACGTCACTGAAATTTTTCTTACGTCTGTTGCTTAACTAGAAAGTGACTGGAGACCATTTCTTTCACCGTGAACCCACCTAATCCAGAGAGAGAAAGAAACACCAACATCTCGACCCACAGCGCACTCAGGTTAAGGTGGAGGCGGTCGGCGCTCGGCTCAGCCACACCTACCTGCAACAGGTAAACCCGAATCATGTAGACGAAGCTCAGGCCCAGCGTCACCACCCATCGCACGGCTGTGTACGGTGTGGACTTGTCCAGCCAGGACTGGTAGATCTGGAACAGTAAGAGTTTGCATGCGTCACGGACACCCGCCACTCCTACCGCACAGCGCACTCCCACGGTCTGCTTGGCCCGCACGGCACCCGCGCAAAGCGACGGGCGATACCAAATTCATTGGCACCGGTTCCTGAGACCGGTCCGACCCTTGAGCAAAAACATTACAGAACGGCCTCAGAGCAGATGGCCCCACGGCCTCAGCAGAGGGCTCACCGTGGGGCGACACGTTTCCAGCCCCACAGAGGCCCGACGACCGGCCGCAGCAGACGGAGGCGCACATCCTGGAGTCACCACGCTGCACGCCGTCCCGCCCCACGGCCCGCTTCCCCCAGAGACGGTCCCAGCCCTGCCGGGACCCGCACGTGGTGGCCACCAGACCAGCCAAGGACTTTACGAAGGGACTCCTAGAGTTTTACACACATACAAGTGTGTATGTGTGCGTCATTAGTGTACGTGTCTAATTTTATTTTTGAAACTTCAATTTTTAAGTTTTAATTGTGAAAATTTCGACTAGTCTTAAAAATAAAGAGAATAACAAATTGGGAGTTATGAACCAGTCACAGACACATGACATGCAGCACGGGGAACACAGCTGTCAGAGCTGCGCAGGGTGCCAGTGGGGACCGGATCTCCTGGGGGGTCGCTTCATAAACAATACATCTGACCCTGCGCTGAACACCTGAAACTCACGTGACATCGAATGTCAACACCAAATAGGACATTTTTAAAAAACAAATACATTTTTATGCTAAATTTAAAAAAATAAACAACATATAAACCCACGTAAACCTATCACCGGCTTCAGTAACTGTTAAGTTTTCCAAAATTCTTTTAAAGTTTAAAAATGGGTAACATTTTAACTCTGAGCACAAGCAGTGCCGCACTCAGACCGCCTCCGCGACCGCAGCTCACACACGTGCCAGAGGGCCAGGTCAGGCCTGCTGGCCACCACAGGGCTCGTCACCGCCCACGGGCTGGGTCCAACAGTCGTGTGCAGACCCGTGTAAGATGGGGTGCGAGGGCCCCTCCCCCGGGCCACAGGGACATGGTGGCCGGGAGGGGACAGCAAAGCAGAGCAGGGGCCGCCACCAACAAAGCTATACTGCCTGGGGGTTCAGATGGTCTCACGGTTTTAAAGGGTAAAAAACCACGCGGAAGACAAGCACGTGGCGGAGGCTGCGGGAGCCCAGGCCTGACGCGCAGCTGGCGAGCCCTGTGCCACGGTCGTGGGCACGTTCACGGCAGGGAGAGCACTTCTGAGAGTGAGACCCTCAGGCTCCCCACCTCCGCGGACGCGAGCACGCCCCCCCGCCCCCCAACCTCCGCCCAGGGAAACGTCCCAAGGTCAACAGTCCCTTGTTCAAATATTTGCCCAGCGCACCCGCAACCAACCGACCTGTCCGAGTCTGGTGAAGAATCTGTACACCACCGAAGGCTTCCCGTGGACGGAGTCTCCGACGCTGTCCCCCTCGGACATTCTGCAGCTGAGGAAACACAAGACGCGTTTAAATCCAGTTAAACGCTTTCAAAGGTCTGATCACCCTCTACCCACTCAGCCTCGTTCCCTGCCATCAGCGCGTCCGCCAGGACTGAGCGCGGCAGCCAGTCTCTCTCTGGGTGCCTTTTCCACTGCCGCCTCAAAAAAGAAACAGGCGGGTGACACACTGTGGCGGAGAGCCAGGAAGGCACGTGACATGCAAAGCAGCAAGGGTGAACTTTCACTTCTGCTGCCCTCACCTGGACCACATCCCCCAGGTCCCCCTGGAGCCCGGGCCAGGCCCGCCTCGGTCTAGTCCCTCCCCATCCGCCCCCGGGGCTCCCCTGCACCCCCTCTCCTCTAGGCCCCGTCCCGACCTCCACCCGAGCTGCTCCCCCCAACGCCAGCAGCCAGCGGCGCGTCTCCTGGTCTCCTCGGAGCCAGGCTCCCCCCTCACGAAGAGAAGTGAGCCACACATGAGTCCCAGGCAGCCAGCTGCCCTGGCCCAGCCCCTCGCCCGGGAGTGGATGTGACCCTACCTGCTTGCGGCTGTTTTTAACATGCTGCTCTGATTCCCTGAGGGGTGACCTGCACAAACCCTGAGCACCAGTGAGCCGGGTGGCGTCACCCCATTTTACTACGGAGGGTCACATCTCAAATGGTCCCGGCCACCCGCCCGAGGTCAGGAGCAGCTCTGCCTGAGCCCACCCCAGCCTCTGACCTCAGTGCCCGCCGCTGCCCAGACCTCGGACAAGCAGGGTCCAGAGGACAGAGGCGCTGGGCATCCCTAAGCTGGTGCAGATGCCAGGGCAGAGCTCACTGCTGCCCGCAACCTGGTGCCACCACAGGGCTGCGGGGCAGAGGCGGACTCCAGCTCCAAGTGTCTCCAAGGCCCTGAGCTGTGTGGCCTCGAGGCCTCCGTCTCGTCTGGAAACGGTGCTCACAGACCTAGCAGCTCCAGCCACCCGCGGACAGCGAAGCCAGGCTCCCCGCGGCTCGGTCGCCCAGCCCCAGCCTGCCCACAGCCCCAACCGTGAGCCCCCACTCCCCAACTCCCCAACCGCGTCTGCACTGCGCCAACCCAGAAGGCAGCGGCTGGAGATGAGGTCCAGGGTCTCCAATACGGGTCCTTTCCCACGACAACTGCAACATTAAAGTAACCATGTGGACACGTCTCGTTACAAGTGTGACTAGGACTCCGTGACACCATTTCCTGGAGCTGCCACATGGGTGGGGCAGAGTTCCAGAAGTGTCAGGCTGCAGCCAAGAACCACCCTTTGCCCTCCCAGGACAGGCGTGAGCTAGGCCCACAGGCCGAACAGGTGGAGGACACCCCCGTGCTCCGTCTTTTCAGAGGTGTCACGGATTCACAGTCAACCGGGGGTAGAGCGGGGTAGCCTCTACTTTATTTTGTTATTATTATTTTTTTAACGTCTACAGCACCTGGTCTTCCGAGGTGGTCTCCCATCCAAGTACTAACCAGGCCTGACCCTGCTTAGCTTCCGAACTCAGACAGGATCGGGTGCGTTCAGGGTGGCGTGGCCATCGTGGGATGCTGTAGTTTAAAAGGAGCTGCATCGAAACGCACTCCCTGGGCCGCCCAGCGCCCAGCTCAGGCCGAAGCCGAAGCCCTGCCCGTCTCGCGGCCTGCCCTCGGCTCCTTTCACGCTTCCCTGATTCACTTTTTCAGAACCAACGTGTTCACCCTTCAAACGCTTGCTACTTCAACTGAGACGGTGAGGGCAGTCGTCAGAGAGAGGCATCGGCTGTCCCTGCAAAGTACGCACTCGAAGCAGAAACAGCCGCTCAGGGCTTCTCGCTCTCTGCACCCAGCACCTGGGGGTCATCCAAAAACACACGAGTGATTGCGGATTTTCTGACCAGTGATGGACACGTTAAAACACAACGCACACCTTCGTCGAACTCACCGCCAGTAATGTTAAGAATGGGAACTCTGGAGGCAAGCGGCCTGCTTTTTAGTGTCCAGGCTGTCCCTTCGTAGCCGGGTCACCTAGGTACGACCCGGGACACCACATTTCAGCACACCTCATTCCAATGTGCGAAACAGCCAACAGCGCCTCGGCGCCCTCCTCCCGGGCTCTGGGGGCATCAGTACTGGGTGCCAGGCCCGTCCCGCTGCCAGCACCGCAGGAGGGAGCCCGTGGCCTCCCTCGGTCACCTGACCTGTCCCTAGCTGGGGCTGGCCCTCGCACCAGCAGTCCTGTCTGCGACTCTCTTCCCTCAGCTGGGCCTAAAGGCCACCTCTTCAGAGACCCTCCAAGACTGCCCCGTCCTCCCTTAGGTCTCATTACCCTGTGTGTATTTCTTCTGGCTCATTTCCCTCTAGAGTGCAAGCTCCTCGCGGTGACGGGCCCTCTCTGGCCCACTGAGCACACCGCCCAGAAAGGTCTGTCACTCAGCTGCCGATGGGAAGCTTTCTGTTGAACTCCGCTGCCTCTCAGCCCCAAAGGAAACGAAGTAAAAGACGGGACAAAACTACTCCCAGGAGAGACCAAGTCGCACCTGAAACTGAGAGTGGCCTGTCCCCTGCCATTATCCACTTCCCCCACCCCCGTTTCCAGGGGTGGTCACCCCCTCGAAGTGAGCACTGCCATACAGGATCCTGTCCCCTGCATGGCGCATTCGGGGTCACGGCTAGCTGGGCTCCCCCTCCCTAATTCCTGGGTCCCCTGCATGACACTGTCACCTCTGGTGCTGTTCCCTCTGCTGAAATGCCCTCCCAGACCTCGTCGGCTCATCTTGGCGAGGCTCCTCCCTCCTCTGGGCGTGCCATCTTACACGTCTCCCCACCTGGCCAGATGCACAGTGCACCTGACTGCGGGCACCTCCCACCCTCGACGGGGTCCCAGCTTCGGTCACCGAGGCCCCTCTACTCACGCACGGGAATCCCACCTCACGCATTCTCGCGACGTGAAGCGCCAACCCAACCGAGCAGAACGCGCTTCGGGAAAACTTCCAGCGCCACCGGCGCCTCTCCCGTCAGACGCAAGGGAACCGAGCCCAGCTGTCCGCCGGCGGGGGCGGCTCTGGGCGCCAAGACCCGCGGGAGCCCGTCGGAAGCGTCGGCCTGGACAACTTACGACTCTGCCACCTGAGTCTGCGCTAGTAACAAAACGTCACCTCGAACAGCCCAACTGCCCCTGACGCCTCGCTACCCAAGCCCTAGAGACAAGCGAGGAAACCGAGGGGCCAGCCA